CTACAGAAATAAATATATAGCTTCTATTAAAAAGTTAATTTTAATTGGGTATGAATGACACTGTCCCTATATGTTCTGTCTTTAACCCTGTCTTTGTAACTTTCTGGAAGTTTTGCCATTAGTTACAATGGGTGCATGATAAAGATTAGAGGGAATAAACCTAATCGGTACATTCTCAGATAACACAAGGAGTGGAATATCCCTTTGGTCATAGTATTGATTGTCATTTATTTTATAACTCTGTAATAGGCTCTCTTTGTCAAAGATTGTGTGCTTGTTATGTATATTTAAAATTGTATACTATAGTAGTGATACTGAACTCTTGCATTTAGGAAAATGGGCAGTTGTAGTTGTCAGTATTCTTTTCAGGACTTATTCATATATTGCTAGGTTATCATGTGAAGTAACTATATTGAAGTGGCTTTTCACCTTGGCATCAATTTAGGTGATTGTGTACCTTCTTGCAAGCTGCCATCCTTGTGTATGTCACATTCTTGGTTCCTAGTTCATCTGTTTTTAGTTTGTGGTGTCCTCCCATTTTCTAGAGTGGCATAGATTTCAAGGAAAGAGATTTGTTTGCAACCACATAATGAAAGAAGCCAATCTTTACTATGACCATTAAGCTGTTCTTGTCCTTTTTTGCATTTTTATTAGGACTCAGTCCTTTATTGCAGGACTCAAATCCCACGAGAGTTAAGCAGATTTGCTAAAACTACCTTCCTTTGGCTGCAGATATTTTAGTCTATAACTTCCTTCATTCCTATCCACTGCTTATGTTAGCTGGGGCTGATGGGTGTCTAAGGCATCCAGAGGAGGCAGACTTGCAGGGGTTTAACTAGAACTATGCTTCCTGAAGCAGATCTTCCTATTACTAGTTGTTGGTAATCTATCTAGATGGGTAATCCATTAATAGTATAAATTTATTATAATGATTCTTTTCTTCGAAGAAGTATGTCAGTAGCCTGGGTGTATCAGAGGGAGTGAAGAGACAAGGATGCCCTTGTGTGAGCTTGGCTGGGCCAACTGCTTCTGATCCTCTGTTCTTGACTTGGATCCTGGCCCTTGCTTGGTTTTTCACTACGCCCCAGCCACTAACTACCTTGGCTATGAGCCACTAACTACATTGACTGCTACACCACTAACCCAAGTTGTCAGCTTGTTAACATGACCTCACCTGAAATACCATTTTCTTCTGGCCTGCTTGGGCCTGAGGGCCAAATCTCTGGGTTTCCAGTACCTGACTGTCTGTAAGGCTGATTCTGCCCAAACTGGGTATGGTTGGCATGTTGTCCGTCCTGTGGCGTTTTCTCCACAGTTACAACATTCTATGTTCTTAAATACAATGTACAGGTTATTAAGGTTTCTTACAGATTTTTATTTAGTTTGCTTACATGATTAATAACAAATATTATGCCACACCCCAATTCTTAAAATCTGGATTCAAAAGATCTTGTAATTGACAGATATTAATTTTTAAAATTGTAATGTTGCCAATAAAAAGTCAGATAAAATGATTAAATAGCCTTAGGAAAAGGGCAACAAAATGTTCAACTATTAATCTACCAGAGAGAATCTTTAGTAAGATTTTATGGGGTGGGGGTGGGGCAAGAGAAACATTTTCATTCATGTGAGTGGAACATATAGTTAATCTTCGCCACTTCACTCCATATTTTGACAGGATCCCAATAAAATGCTGTTAGACCATAAACTGAACACAAGCCTGTTCAACATGTTCTCTTATTTTAGGTGCATTAGCAGGAAATTAAATGATCTAATAAAGTATTTGAGTTTACTTGTTAAGTAAGTGCTGTCATGTTTTTTCCCCTTCTCTTCCCTCTTTTTTAAAAAAATGTTCCTGGGAATGCTAAAACCTGTACCACATTATTACTAAATTTTATTTATTTATTTATTTAGGAGACTTCTATGCCGCCCCATTTGCCGAAGCCTCGGGGCGGCTCACAACCATAAATAAACTTCGATAGAATAATATAAATTAACAGTATAAATTCCTCTCTTGAGACATAAATGGATCATTTATGCAATAACAATACATCGCCAATAATGTTTCGAGTCATTAGTGGGTGTTACAATGCCTTTTCAGAAACCCAATCATTGAATAACAATAATAATAAATATGCCCATACTGCTTTTCCAGCTTTCAGAGCTTTGCCCATGTTTATGAAAGCTGAGGACCCATCAGTTCACCGCTTTTATGTTCCTAGTTTCATTGGAAAAAAATCTCAGGACAAACAGTTGCTGGGGGCATTTTGTGAATGCTCCGAGGGCATTTAATTGTGGTGATGGCATCCATCAAGTGGGCATGGCAATTATATCCATCCTTTGTCCTATTTGTAACCTGCTTGAACTAGTTGTGAAACCCAAAGAAGTGGCAAACAATTGATAATAGAACCCAGGATACACAATCACAGCCATCTGCCCACATTAGTGCACCAAGAGCAACATTATCCTTGAGATACATTTTCAAAGGCAAAAATGGCACTTACGTTTAATGGAAACTAAGCCTCCTAAGTGTCATTGTGGGTGCATATGTTATCCATCTGTATATCATCTTTTATGCCATATGCCTTCACAAGTTCATCAACTTAACTTGACTGATAAGTGAAGCAAGTTTCACATTTGGTCTCAGTCTAAATTTAAGCTATTCTGCAATGAATCCCAAAGCATCTAAACAAATTCCAAAATGCACTTGAGCAAGAGAAAGACCCAAGACCCACTAAGCCGATAGCTTCTGATTTACCTTTTAGCCTACCAATATCATGGGCCATTTGGGGAGATTTTCATGGTACTAGAGAAGCTGCATGGTGGAGGTGGACCAAGGTCATATCTCTCTTCCAGGCTCTGAAGATCCTTTGCTACCTCGAAGAGGGATCATGGAGGATTCCCTCCTCTTCAGCCATTAGCTTGTTCTCACAACTTGGCCCCAACTGGCCTGCTTACCCAGTGCACCACTTAAAATTAATTTCCAACTGTGTTAGTTTAAGGGCTGTTAGGTTCTCTGCACTGCTGTTCTGTGTTGAATTGGGAACCTTGAGTATTTTGCACAAGGCAGGAGGTAGATCAGAGTTACAGCGGAACTTCATGTTTTTTAGAATGGGTATCACCCACTGCTGTTCCTCTCCCAAATGCATAGCTAGGTATAAGCAGATGCTTGCAGCACCAGCTAGTTCACTTGGACTACAAAGCTCCATTTTGTGATGGGTCTCTGTACTGCAGACCTCATGGCTGCAGACCTCATGGCTGTAACACCTGGCCAGAATTTCTTCTCTGACCCTTCGTTTTTGCACCACCTAGCCTGATGCAGAGTTCTGGAGTACTTGAAAGCTTGCTCCTTTTATGGTTGGTATCACCTTCTCTTTCTAGTTAGGTCTAATGGCTTTAATGCTACATGATTGCCTATGTTTTATAGCTATCTAAGAGGAATGTTGTCTAGAGGGAAATAGCATGCAACATGCTCAGAGACTCTTTCTTTATTATCCTTTTCTCTGTGAAATGTATATTCCAAGTATAAGCCTGAACATTGGAAAGCAGGATCCAAGGCTCAGCACTGGCTTAAATTAAGCCATGTACGAAGGATCTTCTATTTTGAGCTGTGTAGTGATTTTCCCATCGAATGCTAGCAATCAGAGCAGTTTTCTCACTGAAAAGTAGCCCAGCTTTTTTTCCACAGATCAGAAAAGCTTTTACTTTATCTGTTTCCTTTCCAGTGATTATGCTTCTCTCTTCTGTTGTTCCTTCCCTGCCTCAAATGGGCACTGCTGTACCTCTCACTGATACTTATGCCTTGAATAATTTTAAGCACCTTTATGCTGCAAGCAAGGCAGTGCTCAAAATCCATCTCAGCAGTTGCTAATTTGGCAATAATGGCAGTCTCCACAATGGCAATTAATGAACAAAGGGAGCTTGCACTTTGTGACCTAGCAACCAGGTTTCCCTTTAAACTGGTTTCTCTCTCTCTCCTTCTTTTGTACACTACATGTCAAAAGTCCCCAGGGAAGAGCAGTGTTAAATTGCTTTGCCTGTGGCTGATCTTTTACCATTTGGTGGCAATGCTTTCTCTTATTTATTTCTTCCTATTCTGGTTTTCTTAATCACTTGCTTTTGCTTTAGACAATTCCCCAATTTGGCGTATTCTCACAAATGCATGGTTTCTTTCCTTTATTCAAAAGTGAATATTTCTGTTCTTCTGAGGTTACCAAGTATCTTGGAAAGCTGCCTTCACTGCAGGATGTACAATGTTTAATTTCTTCTATAGCTTATGGAGCAACTCTGATATAACAGGTTTTTGTTGGTTTCCTCCTTAAAATTGCATAAAACCCATTTTACAGTTTCAACTATGCCCTCCTGATTTCACTTACACAATACATATAATATGTGAGTGCTTCCACTTTAATGCTTTTATGACACCAACTCTCTGCCTTTACTTTATCTGGGGGTGGGGGAAGGCAGCGATGGCCTAAAATGATTTAATAGAAAGCAATCAATGTATATCTTTTCAGATTTACTGGGTCATATACGGGGTACCTTTTGAGCAGTAAAAGGAACCCCCAGTCTATTTCACATGAGTTTTGGATTTCTGTGGTAGTAGTAGGAGAATAACTTTAGTAGCAGAACCAGTATTTAGTCATCTTACCAAGATCCTCTGTCAGTTGTAAATTTATCCTGAGATCCTAATAAAAGAGCTCTTTTTAGCCCCTGATATTTTTGGTCCACCGAATGTTCAGAATAGTAATGCTGTTTTGAGTTACACATGTTTCCAGAAGTGTTTTCTACTTTCTGTACCTCTGAAGTTTACAAATCTAATTTATGAAAGTTAAAAGCTCTGGTTAGTTTTGGAGAGCAAATGATGATGTCGGGTTTTTGCAAATGCAGGATCTAACATTTTGTAGGTGTACCCAGTGGCCCTCTTTAAAGCACGTGCATGTTTATATTTTATTCCTACTTTGCATAGTTTAAATAGTACCCCTATTCTCTTCCTTCAGAATCTCCTGGCAAGGACATTGGCCCCACCCTGGGCTTAAAGAAGTCGAGTTCGCTTGAGAGTCTACAGACAGCTGTTGCTGAAGTGAAAAAGAACGAGCTTCCTTTCTACAGACCCAGGCCTCACATGGTGCGTGGTAGAGGGTGCAATGAGAGTTTCAGAGCTGCCATTGACAAATCATATGATGGGCCTGAAGATACAGCTGATGGTATGTACTTCAGTACTTCTCTCCTCAATCTCTCTCCCTCCCTCATTTCAGTACAGGCTAGTTTCCATTTCAGTGTGCTTTTATTTGAAAGAATAACCTTCTCCAACCTGGTGCCTTTCAGGTGTGTTAGACCTGGTACAAAATGCAGCAGCCTGTGTAGTGGTAGAAGTTAGCTCCCATGATGCTGGTACTGCACTTGCTGCACTGGTTGCTGGCATGGCTCCAACCCAATTTAAAGTAATGGTTTTAATCTTTGACAATTTAAGTGGTTTGGACCCAGGTTACCAGAAGACCTGCTTCAAACTGTGCTAGTCCCCCCTGCATGTGGAAGACACCCTTCTCACTTGTCCAGCACCAGGGGCGACGAGGCTAGTGAGTACAAGGGAGAGAGATCTTCTCCAGAGTGGCCATGTACCTCTGGAATATGGCTCCAACAGGGGATCACCAGGCCCTTCTTTTCAGGTCTTCTTGAAAGCACCCATCTGTTCTTGCTGATCTTTAGAATAAAAAAAGCAAACAAAAAAGGCTGCTGGTTTTATAAATGTTATTTTTAGTGAACATTAATGTTCTGATGGTTGTAGACTGTATGTCATCATAGCAGAATTCCCATTTAAAGGCAACCTAACAGTTAAATAAATAAAATAAAAATTGGTGGTGGTGCTGCTGTTGGGGCTATCCACTCATGTTCTAGCAAATTGCATGTTGAAAACTGGAACACTGCAACACCCTATCAGGCATTGCAGAAAACTGCTATTTAGGGGTGCCCCTACACTGTTTCTTTAATGGACTTGACAGTACTGGACAAGCTATACTCACAAAATGTGTGCTCATAAATTTTGGCTTTCTATTATGTTCTGTTAATTCTTTGACTTGAATACCATCTGCCTCCTTGTGTCCCAAGAGACACTCTGTGTATGTGTGTGTTTGTTTTAAAGACTAGTAAGGCTTGAGAGGCATGGTATTTGCAAGGATAGTGGTTTTCCTATGTATAAATATTGCCAAAACGATAACGAGAACCCATAATGTAACCATCCTTAATTTACAACACAGTCATGATGGAATTAGCTAGCTATGTTTGATGGTCTTTTTATAGTTTCCTTAATATATACAATTTGAATAAAGTACATTATAGGATGCCATATATAGTCACCAGCCCTGCATTTTTCATTTGTACATGTTCATCATAAATGTCTGGCCTGCTCTCATTTTACAGATGGTACCTCTGATAAGAGCTCTCTGTCTGGTCAGGAAGCTCAGAATTTTGAATCGGCCTTTCATGTAAACTCTGAGTTGGAGGATGCGGAAGGCAAGGCAAAGAAGCATAAGAAGACCAAAGAAAAATCAAAACTAAAAGAAAAGAATAAAAAAACTAATCTGAAGAACAAATCAAAAAGTAAAGAAAAGGACAAGAAGGAAGAAAGTGAAGATCTAGAGAGAAAAACAAAGAAGAAAGGTCTGGGTGCCATGTTGAGGTAAAAGGCCTTGTTAGATCTTTTTTTGTTGTTGTTAATGATATTAAAATTATTTAGCTTTTTGTTCTCAGGCCACTTGATGAGTTTGATGATATTACAAATAGAAGCCAAGGACTGAATGACACTGAACCACATTTGTGTTTGTTTGAGGGCCATTTCATACACCACTTTTCTTTATACAGCAGTTAATCTCTACAGTTAGCTGATTGAAATATATGTCCCACCTCTGCAAAAAGAACCAGAGGCAGGTCATAATAAATAAAGCCATTGGGTAGAGTAGACCCCTTGAAATCAATGAGCAATTTGAGTCCCATAAGTGTCCACTTGAAGCTGACCAGTTCTGATGCAACCCACTACATTTAAAGTACATGGAGTAGCATCATGGTATGAGCATCTTAAATTTAGTATCATTGAACTGGATAAAGCAGCCAAAGGAATTAAAATTAACCAATGAAATCAGTCATGGGAGAACAACAGCATCTTTCTAAAACTTAGAGGATGTGCTTCTCTTTATGAACCTCTTTTGAGAAGGAGTGCTATGGGAGTGTTTCCCAAGATGGTGCTGGGCTGGGAGAAAGAAACAGCTGAGTACTGAGAGGGACAAGCCAAGAAAATGGAACATTTCCTTATTTGCACTTTTTCCTTCCTTCTATATTTGGAAGGTCTACTTTCTGTAGTCCATGATTCATTAAGCCAAGCCATCTGCACCAGTCAGCTCAGGGGATCTTCCTCAACCTGATACCCTCTGGTCTGCATTTCCTATTAACATGGCCTGCGACCATGCTGTCTGCAGGAGAACATGTGGCCCAACACATCCAGAAAGTGCCAGCCTGGGTTAAAGAAAAGGCAATGTTCTTGTGTTCTGGCCCATGTTCTTACACATCTGCCTTGAGCTTGCCACAAAAAGAGACTCCTCCTTGGGGATTTCTACCCAACAGTCTTCTAAGTTTCTCAGATACAAGGAGGGGCTTAACTTGGGGTAACCATTAAATGTTACCTTTCTCTGTGGACAATTCCAAATTTCAAAAGGTGCATGTTTGGCTCGGCTGGTAACCAAGATGTGTGGAATCTTACAGATGAAGGGAGTTGCTATTTACCTGCAAACTTTGGAAGGTGTTTGCCGTCTTGCTGAAGGTCACCTCAGCATTAAATTTTGCAGGGTGATAATGGTTTTTCAGAAGAAAAAAATATACAAATCAAGCTGTGACAACTGTGCAAACAGCCTGTTGTGTGTGTTTTATATAGCTGAGCAGGAACTTTAATCTTCCACATTCTTATGGCAACTCCAACCAATGCAATTTGGGTCAGTGTGAAGAGAGTAATCCGTTTGTCACTTTCTTAGTGCTTAACTATGCTTAGCACAGTGCTTGCTCATCCAAAAGGGTGCTATATGAAAGCATATTCTTCAGTTTGAAGGAACAGATGATGGGTATTAAGACTTAAGTTCTTAATTTGTGGCCTGGTTAGTTTAGCTATCTGAGTTGAAATCATCACAGTCAGTGTATTTTCTGACTGCAAAGCCAAAGCTTTGACTCCACTTTTTAAATTAAGTTAAATAAAAGCTGAACCTTTTAAATCACCAAGAGAATGTGACATCTGTCACGGTGCATTGTTGCTCTGTGGCCTGATCCCAGAGCAGTTGTTAGAGGCCTGGTATATAATAAATGCATCATGACTGTGGCCCTGTTATTACCTTTTCCAGATAGTGGTTGTAAAATTCCTGGGTTTACCCTCCACTTTTTATGGATATGAAGGTAAGTTAGCTAATGGACTACAGCCATACCAATGAAATTTTAATAGCTAGCTCCCTATAGGCAGCCAATAGGCTTGGAGTTACAGTGTTTTGCTTTATAAAGCTTAGACCAACTGTGTGTATCTGGCATTTTTCAGTGGAAAGAAAAAAGAATAGACATGCATATCACATGCAGAGTGCTGAAGCCATGTATTATATCTGCAGTTTGCAAATGCTTTAAAACAGTGTTTATGGTGCAGCAGCATCTCCCTTTCGAACAACTGTGGTATTTATTAGGGTATTTATTATATTTACCCCCTCCCCTGCCATTTGGTTGCAAGGGACCCAAGGCAGCTTACTTGGTGCACTTCCTTATCCTCTTTATTTTGCCCTCACAACAACATGAGGCTAAGAGTCAGCAACTGTCTGAGTCACCAGTGAGCACCATGGCTAAGTGGGGCCTAGAACCTTGGCCCCACACTCTCCCTGACACAGTTATTGGTTGGCAGTTGTGATGATAGTGTTTCTATCAGGTAGCATTAATAGATAGTACTGAAAAATCTCAGAGCTGTATTTCAGTGGAAAGTTGCTTTCTGTTATGTGTTACTACATTAGGTTTGCAGATGAATTAATAAAGTATGTAATAAAAGCCACTATTTTCTTCTTTGGAAATATTATATTTTCCTACTAACAATTAATCTTCTGAGTATTTACTTTCATTTTCACAGTGTGAAACATTTTTGGCTGTCTAATTTGCCAGTACTGCTTCGAGCTAAGCACCTGAGTGATTTTAATGTTTCACTTTAGCTAGAAGAGAGGAAACGTTTTCATTATTAAGTGAAGATTCTTTACAACTCTACTTTTTATGACCAATAGTGTTGACTCTGTAATAGGATTGCTGAGCAAGTAGCATAATATGAACCTAGTGATGTACCTTAATGCATAATATTGATCCTAAATCAACAGATCCAAACTAGTAATTGACTGGTCATGCAGTACATTGTGGGTATATCCACATGTGCTGAACCAGATTGTCGGGGTCATTGACGCCATCACTTTTGAAGGCACAAATCACCTTTTTGAAGGATGGAAAACCTGGATAAAGTGTCTGCAGCCTCTGTTCCACCTCACTACCACCCACACATACAAGATCCAGTCCCCAACCCTCTGCACATGCACAGTGAGAGCATCTTTCCAAATTCAGTGTTGGGCCAGCACTTGATATTAGGTGCAGAGCAGAAGCCTAGGCACAGAATGTACTTGCATGAACTGAGAATATCCACTTGAAATCATGATAGTGGGTAGGCAGGGTATATGCATGTGTGAATACAGTGACTCTTTGTCCCTCCTGGGTCCCACTACTGCATAATTAACTGGTTTTTAATATTGTTTAATGTAGGTAGGAAAGTGATGGAAATAAGTGCCTACAATGGAAATGAAATAAATAATGACAAATAAATGAATAATGGTACTGCAAAGAGAGAAATAAATTATCACCAGAAGCTGTTTAGAAGGTTTCGTGAGCTCTTCATTTTTAATTTTTCTTTCCTGATTTATATCTGCTGTACAAAACTGTCAGTTGTTAAATTAAACTACCATGTTTTAGTGATTGCAGACTAAAGGAATGGGTGCAATAATTAATCTGAGAATATATGCATAGTTCATTTGTCACATCATTAAAAAAAATACTGGCTGCTTTATGATGCCCTCTTCTTTTTACTCCTGCAATCTTGATTACTCCTTAGCTGAGTTTATTGTTTGTCAAATGCAAAGACAAGAGGGATATTTTCGTATTTAAAAAGCTCGTATACATTCTGCTAAAGGTTTATTTGTTTAATTAGGGTTCTATTCTTCTCTTAGCATACATGCATAAATCTCATTAATGTTAACGAGTTAGGCCAGTGCATCACAGGGGAATATTGCCTTCTAAATCATTAGTGTACTTTAATAATAAGGTGACCTATATTTGTGGAGCAAGTCATAGCCAAGCTTCCAACTTGTTTTGGATGGAAGAGAGAACTAGAGAGCACAAACTTAAACTTCAAAAGTGGTAGAATATGCTGTGTGTGTGTGTTTGAGAGAATGCAACTATAGACAAGACTGCTGCTAAATTAAGGAAATACATCATTTTCATAATTTTCAGTTTTAAAATTAGGAGATTGTCTCATATGAGTGTTTTGCAAAACAGTCTTCTTAAGGTACAGAAACATCAGTTTCATGCCTTTGCACATTTCCCACATACCTTCCAGCTTTTCTTTCCCTTCTTTTTTTTTTTTTCTTTTAAGAACTTGCCAGAACTGCAGGATGACTTCTGTCCTCACCAGACAGTCTTAAGCTTTGACTTCATTGTGCTTTTTCTTCTTTACTGCAACATAAATTAAAGAATGTCTAAGTTTGGTGTGAACTTTCGAAAGCTGCAGTGCTGGTGCTAGGGTGCAACAGTGATTCAGGAAATGACATTATTTTCCCTGTTCATGCTGTGGGTACAGCGTTTCTGACATCCCCTGGGGTTTCACATTGCACTTCCTTCATCTTCATGCGTATTTTAAGGAACATTAGCACTTTGGTTTTCAAGCTGTAATACAGCTCCAAAGGGACCTTGAGAATAGAATAGGGAGGGCGGCACTTAATTTTGCAGTAGCAAAAAAAGATTATGGGAAGTTATGGCTCGCTAAAGCTAAGTGCTAGTTTCCTCTTTTTGGCTTTTGCTTTGACAGTAGCACAAGTACAACAACTGAACCAATTACAGCAGATATAAAATGCAACCCTTGCTGAGCATTCACGTTATTTGATACTGACCATTGCCTTTTTGTTTCCTTGTATTGGTGGAGGCAGCTGCTGCTTGGCACCTTTTTCATCCTTCTCCTTTGGCTCCATTGTTGGTCTCTTTTGCTCCTGGTGCTGTTTAATCTGCTGATCTTGGGCAGCCCACATCAGTTCTGTTCATGAGTGGCTGTGAGTCATAACATCAAACATAGAATTCTAAAGTTATCAGAAGAATCATTTGTGCTAGTTAAATAGCACAGAATGTGGGGAAACAAATCTGTGAATGGCAGTGGCCAGAGAAATAACATGTCACAACAGCAAATACATTCACAATGAATGGCCAGAGAGAAGAAAAGAAGGGAATATCACCATGCAACAGGGCGAGTCGTTTTAGTCCTTTCTGTGTTTCGCTCCTACACAGCTCCCATGGTTGAGCACAGATTCTTCTGAGTAAAGCAGCCATCCTTGTCTATACCCAAGCTGCCTCTTGGATAGCTGTGGG